AAGCATTTGCTCTTGGTGAGCATTTAATGAGGTCCTACTCCAGTCATGGGCTAAGTCTGGAGAAGAGGGTCTTCAATTATAGGCTCACCAGAGCACGCAGGGTTGTGGAGTGTGCCTTTGGTATACTCTCCAATAAATGGCGCTTCCTGCACTCGCCAATAAACCTCAAAATTGAAAACGCCATCTCTGCGGTGAAGGCAGCTTGCGCCCTTCACAATTTTGTGCGTTGCAGAGATGGGTTTAATTTTGATGATTCATTGGCGCACTGCATGGAGAATAGCCAATGCAGCGCCAGGCGTGGAACAACGAATGGTGGCAGCATTCGTGACTGATTCGCTGCATACTTCATGTCACCTGAGGGGAGGTGTCATGGCAGATGCAAGCGATTCAGTCTTGATTCCCCTCCAAAAATTAAACATCATTTTCCCTTGATCTGATACCAATAAAATATATTTGAATTGAAAACAGACTTGAGTATTGTTTTTTCTAAATAGCTGCACGCATGGGACATATTTAACACTGCACGCATGTGACATAACAATACTGCACACATGAGACATAGAAACACTGCACGCATGTGACATTAAAATACTGCACACATGGGACATTAAAATACTGCATGCATGGGACATAAAATCACTGCACGCATGTCACATTAAAATACTGCACGCATGGGACATAAAAACACTGCACGCATGTGACATAAAAATACTGCACGCATGTGACATTAAAATACTGCACGCATGTCACATTCAAATACTGCACGCATGGGACATAAATACACTGTACACATGTCACAAGAAAATAATGCGCACATGTCAATACACACTGCATGCATTCTGCATGAAAACATAGCAGACATGCACGCATGTTACACGGAAATAATGAACACAAGTCATATGCAAACAATGCACGCATGACGCATAACAACAGTGCATGCATTCTGCAAGAAAATATTCAACACATAAAAACATTGCTGACATGTACCTTTTGATTCCTTTGCTTGCTTGGGGAAGGTTTCCCAATCTGGCCTGGTTGCTTGAGCGATCTCCAGCCAGACACTTTGCCTGATGCGTCTATTTTTATAGTTTGAATGACGAATGTCATATAGACATGGTCTTCCCTGCACCAGCCGTATGAAGGCCTCAGAATCGAGCAGGCCTAATGTTGCTGTATCCTCCATCTTGTCTTCTTCTGCAACAACTCTCTGCAAGATGGGAGTGGTCTGTAGCCATGTGCGGAACACGCGTTCTATGCGCAATTTCTGCGACCAAAAACGCTCCAAACAATCATTTCGCCCGTTCCCGTCGAAGTCTATGGTCGCGAACGCGCTACAAAACGGCACAATACGCCGCAAAGAAGCTCCTGGACCTTTTCAGGCATGGGCCGTTTTGTAGCGCGGTAGGGACGGGCGGAAATACGGAAAGGTGGGAACGAGACCATTGACTACAATGCAATTTAGATTTTTGAGCGTTTTGTAGAGCATTCGTCGAGCGTAGAACGCGCTACAAAATGGTCAGGTGTGAACGAGGGTTCAGGGACTATCCCTCGTTGGGAACCAAGCATTAAGAAATTATTCACCAGCCAGGTGCTGATGACTAATTTCTTGATGTTTTTGGACTACACGTCGCAATCCACAGGTCATTTCAGCACCCATCATAAGACTTTGATTGGGATTCCGGTCTGGAGTGTGAGGAAACATCTGCTAGCTTGTTTGGAACTAAATCCCTCTGTCCCTCTTTCCTTTTCAGTTGTCCCTCTTTTTGGTCTGATATACAGATATCTATGATAATGTTCTATAATGTTCTTTAACTACCAAAAGTGTTATTCTGCCAATGCCTATAGTGGAGGAAGCCAAGGTCTCTTGACATTTCTAATAACAGAATCATCTTTTTTTTGTGTGTTACATAGTTACATCGTATTTGAGGTTGAATAAAGACATTAGTCCATCAAGTCCAACCTATTGGGATCTCGTTCTAGGAGTACCCGCACCCCTGTATATTGCGGTCCTTTAAGGAATTGTCCAAAAGTTTCTTGAACAATTCCACATTATTTGCTGAAATTACCGCCTGTGGCAGTGAGTTCCAGACCCTAATACACCGCTCATTACACTAGCCCAGTCTGAAAAGGTGCCATTTACAGATACCCTCTGGACCCGTTCCCGTAGCCAGTTCTCTATCCACGTACACACCACCTCATCTATGCCCATAGCTCTCAGCTTGTGTAGCAAGCGTTTGTGTGGTACCGTATCAAAAGCCTTTGAGAAATCCAGATATACCACATCTACCGGCTTACCTCCGTCCATATCTCTACTTACCCCCTTATAAAAAGTTAGCAAGTTAGTCAGGCAGGAACGGTCTTTCCTGAACCCATGCTGATTGTCATTAACTATCCCGTTTTCCTGAACAAATTCTACCAGATAATCCTTTATTATGACCTCTAGCATTTTACAAACTACCGATGTTAGACTGACCGGCCTATAGTTCCCAGGTTGGCACCTAGCCCCCTACACAGGTAGGTTGTTGCTAACACATACATGAAAAGGAGCCAATGTGGTTGTTCACACCCAGGGATGTTGACTGGACTTTAAGTATAAATTGAATATAAAAGGTATATGCACAGTAATAAAAATGTATATTAATGTTCCCTTAATTTCCACTTTAAGAGAGAAATAATGTATTTGATTACCTTCTTTACACCAGATCACACATAAAGGTTATTATAGTTCTTTTACTTCTGTCATTATAATATATTAATACTTTATGCTATAATTTATTGCATAATATTATGGTATTAGAACCTCATTTAGAAAAATCAATTTCTGTGTAGCTTTTTTTAATGTGATTGTGGTGCTAAAATGAGTTACAATTTTACAATTAAAAGCTGAATTTAAAATTACTTACACATAATAATGCTCTGAACTTGGAGTTTGTATTTAACAGTTAGCTTTTGAACGCACTAATGTCTGTTTGCTTCATGAGCCTGACACCTAGAGTTCAGCATTCATCACTGCAAAATTCTAACAGATTTATTTTCAAAGATCGCCTCCGGTGGAATGAGACACTTTGTTCATGGTAATAGTATTCAAGAAACGTTTCAAATGTCCTAAAGTCAGAATGTTCACCTAATTGAAACATGAGTCACATGATTCTGAGCTGTCAGCCTACTTCTCACCCTCCAGTGTGTGTGGGCTTAGGTGACACATGAGATCATTCTGCGCTTTTTTTAGAAAGAGATGGCAAGCGGTTAGGACATTTATTGGTTTTTACTGCTGCCTGCATTCTCCACAGGAAGGCTGAGACAGCAATAAAAACTTGAAAGAAGTTCCAGCATTAATCTACTCTGATGCAAAACAATGTATTCTTTTGCTGTCTTTGTTTTCACATTGACAGGAAATAAGGGGAAATCTTCTTAGTTAGGACATAGGCAGTAATATAAAAAATAACAGAGAATCTTATCTCTCCAATACTATCCATAATAGAAAGACAAGGCATCTGCCTTGAACGCCGTGATGCAGGGCGGGGGGTGCAGCTGCAATAGGTAAAAACCGGAACTCGTAAGGGGATCCGTCCATCCAATATTTTAATTGCAAAAAGGCATAAAAGCAGCAAACAAACAAATGCTTACATGTTTCAGCCCCCAATCTGGGCCTTAGTCGTAGCCTAAGGTGCAACTGCAGTGGACACCTGCACTACCTTTGCATTGCCCAGCTGTGTCCTGCAGTGTGGAGGACTGCGCTGTCAAACTGGCAGCTCAGTCCTACAGATTACACCAGGAGATTGTGGCTCTCCCTGTGTAACCAGCTGCACTCTACTCTGCTGTCAGTGTGACAAACACTGTACACAGAGCCCAGTGCCGGCTGTCACAAACCTCTGATGATTACACAGGGAGAGCCACATTCTCCCTGTGCGATCTGCAGGACTGACCTATCACTTTGTCAGCTTGGGTCCTGCTCTGCATTCATTATAAGCTACTAATTCATAAATGAAAGCTGCGTTTTTTTCTTTGCTTATTTTTTTTTTGCTGATTATTTTATTTAATTGTTCGTATTTAAACTTTTTACATTTGCATACATTTGTGTATTGTAGTGTTAAATAACAAAGATTCTTTTACGAGCAAAGGCCCTCCTAACCCTATTGAGATTGTATTGTAACTGTACTGTCGCCCTCCATTTCTTATAAAGCGCTAACTGTTGGTGCTATATAAATCCTGTATAATAATTATAATTCTTTGCACCAAAACATGATCCTAGAACCTTTATAAAAGTGACAAATTGCAGAATAAACTTTGTGGTGGTTAACCCTAATAATTTTTTATTAACGCCTTCATTTCATTCCTCTCTTTGTGTTTTTTATTTTGTAGTCTGATTTATTTTTAACTGTTTCTATGTAAACTTTTTTTTTTTTCATTTGCATTCCTTTGTGTGTGTAGTGCTAAATAAAAAAAAAAAATCTTTGTACCAACACATGATTCTAGACATGTTGTAAAAGGGACAAATTGCAGAATCAACTTTGTAGTTAATCCAATTTTTTTCCATCTTTTTCAATCATTTTTTTGAGGGTTAAGAGGGGATATTTTGTATTTTGGTAGTTAAACAGCACCTTCTCTTAGATATGTGTATATCAGGCTGAGGAGGAGAGAGGGACACATGGATTTAGGTAAGTTGGGAGCAATGTAAAAGTAAGATGGGGTACGGGCTCCCTTCAATCTACATCCACAGAACGTACACCATAAAAAAGCGCATGTGAATGAGGAACGAGGATCTGGACCCATAAGTAGGACTGCTAAGGTGACCATACACTATACAGAGATTGCATAGTACATGGCCAGCTTACATTTGCACCCATTGTTTACTATGCTGTTAGGTACACTTTATGGGGCGGAGCTCGTATCCTGGCAACACCCCGCCTACATCTACGCACTGACAGATCACGTGTCCCGGCAGCGCGAAAGGTTCTTGCGCATGCTCAGTGCCCGAAGCGGCAGCCGGAAGTAAACAGAGCTGTGCGGCTCGGAGTGCTGACAGTGCCGTACACATATCGGCTGAGGGGCTTATTCCATCATGCAGGAGCCGGCGGACGTTTCATCCTCCCGGGAGGAGGACGAGGAAGAAGAAGAGGCGCAGGGGGAGAGGGAAGGCGGACAGTACACGGAGGCCTCGCTCGTCTATTACACCATGATGCCTGCCGACGATGATGGCGCCGACCTGCTGGACACCTCCGACCCCCGGGACAGCACGGCCAGCCCCGAGGAGCTGGATGACGAGGACAACTCCGGTGACAATGACATTGTGGTGACCAAGACATGCACGTACCAGGGCTGCAATGAGACCACCAGCCAGGTGGCCAAACAGAGGAAACCCTGGATGTGCAAGAAGCACCGCAACAAGATGTACAAGGACAAGTACAAGAACAAGAAGAAGAGCGACCATGGAACCACAGTCACCAGCAAGCTGGAGGTCAGACATCAGGGGTTATGTCAGGCTAGTATGTCCTACCTGGACAGAGCTTGTGTCCTTACTAGCAAGCCTAGCATTCCCAGATAGCAAGCAATTGAGCTGCAAGTTTGAAAATGACTTGCTAAAGTAATGCAGACTTGCCAAGCTTCACAATTTTGTTGCACAATTACAGCAAGTCTGCATCGCTAGTCTCCAGATCAACGTGCTTTGCAAAAGTGCTGTACACTTGCAGAGCTCTTGCTAAGACCTGCAGGACTCTTGCTGTAGACTTGCCAAGCAAATTTGCTACAAATCCAAAAAGTCAACTAGAACTTGTGCTGCGAGTGTTCCTGGAGTCTACAACTTGCCAGGAATGTGTGCAGCAAGTTAACAAGAATTACAATGTAACCCTGCCACAAGTTTGTGGCAAGTTATCCTTGCTATCTGGGTTCTTCTCTCTCTCTCTCACTGAGAAACCTGTCCCTATGGTAGAACCACTACACACAGCAATGATCAGGAGCTAAAATCCACCAGCAAACTTGAGGTCAGACATCAGGCGTTATATCAGTCTTTGTATATCTTTCCCACTTGGACACATCTTGTCTCCTTGCCAGGAAGCCTAGCACTCTCACCACACTCTTCCCCATATAAACCCTTAGTAACTGTCCCTGCTGTGAAACACAACTCCAATCACCAGGGGCTAAGATTTACCAGCATGCTGGGTTCCATACATCCAGTGTTAAGTCAGGCTTAGTATCTCCTAGCAGCACAGATCTCGTGACCTTACCTGAAAGTCTAGAATTGGTATGACACCTATATCCTGTGTGTATATATATTATATATTCTGAGCAACCTGTTCCTGTTGTGCAATGGTAGAGAATGTAGCATTTTTCTAGATGTCAGGCATCACACTGTTTGCTGTCTTATGTCCCTCTCCGCATTTTGTGAAAGCACAAGTCCCACTTGAGGTCAAAGCGTCACATTTCCTGCAGATCTAAAGGCCTTTGTGCAGCTTTGCTTGACTTGCTTATGATTTTTTTAATAGGCGCATTGAAAGGCAAAAATGCTGCAACCAAATATGTTGTAGGACTGTGCTGAGCGCTGCAGACGACCATTATTTTGCTGCGCTTGTGTTGTCATGCTGTGACCTTATGTGAACAGTATGTGTGGATCATGTCACACATCTACACTAGCTAGTACAGTTTATTCAATGTCCTGACACAAACGCCAGGGAACCTCGGCACTCCAGCTGTGGTGAAACTACAAATCCCATAATGCCTCTGGGAGTCATGCCTATGGCTGTCAGTCTTGTAATGTCTCGTGGGATTTGTAGTTTCACCACAGCTGGAGAGCCGAGGTTGCCTACCCCTGCCGTACTGCAGTTTCAATGCTAAAGATTGAGCTAGTTTATGAAGGTGGATAACTAGTGGCTCTCTACAAGTAGGAATCTGATTGGGTGCCTTCAGAAACAAGAACACCTTTAATACATGAGACCCATTGCATGTTCTTAGTAAAGGATAATGGAACATTTAGCTGACTTGTGACACATTGTACTATCACAAAGATGTTCAAGAGTTTGTATTACTGTTTGCATTCATATTACAGTAGAATTAAACACTGTAGTAAGCAATAGATATATTAAAAAACATTTACAAAAAGGTAATTAGTATCCTTTGTCTCCACCGCTCGATCCCGTCTGAAGATCTGTAGCTTCTCGAGTGGCCATGAAGGATGATGGGGCAGGCGCATGCGCAGTAGAGATCTTCGGCCGGGAGAAGAGGAGAGACACAGCGGAGGTGAGCAGCTGGGAGCGGGCACGTCAGACAGACACCGTGGGACTGGAGGAGTTTGCGCTTGATCAGAGACCGGCACCAGCGCTGGAGGGACTCCTGTATACAAGTGGAAGGAAGAAGATCGGATCAAGAGGCATTATGTAAGGTAAGTCCTTAAAGCAGCATGGGGGGAGGGAGGAAAATATGTGTGACTTGAATGTCACTTTAAGATCTGTATTCAGTCCTCGAAGACTGGAGCTGAAGATTACTTTATGCTTTTCAGGAAACGTGTTGAAAGGTTTTTGAAATGCTCGGTGAAGGTGATGTTTCTCAGACTTGTGTTCACAAGCTAAATACACACATTCGTGTCAGCTTAGGGTCTTGCTATACATTACCGGGGTGGACAATTTATTCTATGTCTGTTTCTTTATACTTTTAGGAGAGTGCAGAATGTTCTGTGTCTCTTACAAAACAAAGAACTGGATCTGTTGGGGATCGTCCTCCGCGCCCTACACTGCTGGAACAAGTGTTAAACCAGAAAAGACTTGTAAGTGTTGCAATAATTAACATTGGAGATTGTTGTAATGTGTATGTATTAAAACGACATCCGGGCAAAAACACACTGTTCAGGTGAAGGATCTTTGCACCTGATTTTCTATATACAGCCACCTGCCATGGTCATTGCAAGGGGGTCATAGGCAGGCTTCACACATATTCTGTGCAGTAAGGTGCAAGTTTTTTATGCATGTTACTGCAATGTGCATTACTGTGCCATTCAATGCAGTGAAAGGGTGACCCTCCATCACAGAGAGATGGGGAAGTAAAGGAAGTGGAGTATGTAAATCTAGGGAGGGAGGCAGTTCAATGAATCTGTTTCTTTGCCCAGGCAAAGCAGGGGTTTACTTTAAAGCTTCCATGGAAGCTTTGCTTTTTACATGTGTCCACTCGCTGAAATCTGACAAGTTTATATATCATAAGGGAATGTGAGTACTCTAGGTCTTGTAGAAATATGCTGTGCCTTCTCATTGAGATTTAGGCTACTTTACATTCCCCAGATCTCACCGGAAGGCGGATGTCACCCTTGCCTAGGTACCGCTGGTAGAAGCCTGAGGAAAGGCAAGTATTCCCTTTTACACAGTGGTTTACTTCCATTTTAAAACTATTAAACATTATTGTGGACCCCAAAAACTGTACATGGGACATTTATCAATTCTGCGGGCAATGGGCAGCAAGACAATTTACACTACGAGGATACATCCATGAGTCATACATTTTTTCCTCCGCTGTTTCTCATTTCCCACCCTCGGCTTATATTCGGGTCAATACTTTTTCCCAGTTTTTTTTGGTAAAATTAGGTACCTCGGCTTATATTCAGGGCGGCTTATACTCGAGTATATACGGTAGCACTGCGACAGAATAAAGCCTGACCCTGAGCACTTTGGAGACGGTTTAGCGTAAAATTCAGTCACATCTCCAGTAATAAATCTGTCTCAGAACTTTGTAAACTGCCCAGGAATACAGGCGCTCAGGATTGTAAACCTGTTGCAGAAACTTTGGTTGGTGACTAATTATTTAGCTAATTTGCTTGATAAATGTCCCCCAATGTCTTTTCACACAGATATAGCGCTGCCAGTGCTAACCTTTTCCTGAAAACACTCCTTGTCTAGCTGTCTTAGCTCTCAATACATTCCTAAACACTGACCCAGAACAAGCATGTGGCTAGTGAAGTCAAAGTCAGCGCTCCTGTACACTGATTGCAGGCTTATAACTCCTTTTTGGTTTAGTATGAAATCCAGACATCTGGAAATGCTATAAAGAGAGTTCAGCAAATATATTATATGGAACAGCTTAGATATGTTAGATGTAACATGGAACCATTGGATATAAATAGTGATTTCTGAAGTTCTTCTATAAGTGATGAGATCTCACTGGCTAGTTTCCAGCGATGTACAGCGTGATATTTATTGTAGGTTTAGGTGGGGAAGAATACTTCCTCTCTCAAGACGATTGCTGTTTTTGCGTCTGCTGGGCTCAGACTGGGGGATGTAGAAGCAGCATAAGGAGCCAATTGATTCATACAACAAGGAGGGAGCTGATATGAGTCAGAGTGACCAATCTCATTACTGTGCTGCTTCTCCTTTACTGTCCAATGCTGGGACATGCCTAGGCATAGAGGAAGTAGGTTGAACAATGCTGGCCGTGGTGGAAAAGAAACACTGCACTCCCAATTGAAGGTAAGTATTGCTGAAAACACTGTTGTTGTGTTTGTTTGTTTGTTTATTTTATCCTATCTTTTAGTGGTCTATAAACATTTAGTATTTTTGAAGTTGTGCTTAACCTTTAAACATTTTTTGACTTCTGTGCCTACATTACCGATACTAATGTATTTTGATTTTGCTGCCAGTCCCTTTTGAGGAGTCCGGAAGTTGTCAACTTTCTTCAGACCCAGCAGCAGCTTCTCGGTCGTCAAGCTTTAGAACAGAGACAGTCCTGTCAAGGGGCATCGCTTTGACCGAATCTCTGCGTATGACGGATCATAAGGATTTTATTTTGTACCAAACATTTGCTGTTTATTTATTACGCTACTTTCTATTACACTTCATTGTTTCACTGAGAAATCCAAAACTTCACGGAAGCTGTGGGAAAACATTGGAATCCCCCGTCATAATGCGATTGTTTCATCATATGGATCTCCTATGCTTTGGAGGTGAAGCTGGCAGCAATACAAAGACGTCAGTGTTTTGGAACCAGTACCCTGTTATCTTATTATATTTGTGGCTGGAAATGTAGTTCTCTGTTCACCCGTAACTGGTTTACATTTCTTCTGGTCTTATACAGCCAAATGGTTTTGTACAAAGTGCTGTAGTCGATGGCAATCCATCAGACTTCAGTATACTGTCATCACATCACTGGAAGTTGAAATCTGGTTGCTGTGGGTTACTGTTTTTTGCCTAATTGAATATGTCTGTATGTATTTGTCACTTTTCATCATGCAAAAAGGGATGTTTGACACTTGTGTAAGCGGTACCTGAGCTAACCCAAAGATATTTACTAGGTTCATTCACACTAGAATTGGAGGCAAATTCACAAGTCAAATGAGCTACATTGATTTGCGATTGCATTGTCTGTTGACAGTGTTTGCGATTTGTTTGCTGGTTTGCCAATCTTTATTTTAATTAACATGTCCTGTGAGGACAAACTTCTCACTCCTTCTTTTTTTTTTTTTTTTTTTTTTTTATGAAAACTTTCCCCCCCTTTTTTTTTTTTTTTTTTTTTTTCTATACTTGCGTTGCCCTTATATGTGATTACATGTATTTTACATGCATTACGTTGCACTGAAAAAAGTAGAGCACGCTCTACTTTTTTTCAGCGTGCTGCCATGCCATGCAGCAGTGTGAACTGGTCCAATTCACACCCATACATTTTTGAATGTCCTTGCGTTGGCATCCGTTTTGAATGGATCCTGAAAACTTTTTATTGTTGTTTTGATAAGAATTCTAAAAGGGAGAGAACCTCTGTCATGTTTTTTAGGGTTGCACAGATACTTTTCGAGTACCAGTGCAGATACTTGGCATTTTCATGAGAACTACCAGTGTTGCAGCGGGGACCTGGCTCTGGCGCTCCACCACTGTCCTGAAATCATTAGTCTGTATTGTTTTAGAAAAACTGTCACATGACAATAAACAAAAATGTATCAGTACTCGTACTTGTAAGTACTCGGCAAGTACCAGTACTCGTACTCGCAAAACTGGTATCTGTGCATCCCTTTATTTATATTTATAAAAACAAAACCGTACATTAAAACAGAGATGTACAAATCCCAGGAGCTCCGTGTGCTCCTTACACATGACAGCTGCCTCCTAATTTTTTAATTTGTCTCTAGTCTAGTCTTGGAGCTCAAAAGTATCGGTACATGTACTCGTACTTGTACAGAGTACTGTACTTGGTATCTGTGCAACCCTAATGTTTTTATTGTGCCTGTTAAGTAAGTTCACCATTTGTATTCGTTCTGGTGACCAAGTTGTAACTATAACCATAGCAGTCTATGCAACTGCTATGCGGCCCAGAAGCACAGGGGGCCCAAAGCTGTAGGGCTACATAGTGATTTCCTCAGGTGGTAATGTCATTTCAGAAACGCAGTGGGGGGAATTGAACAAAATCTGGAGCAGTTGCCCAGGGCAACCAATTCGCTTCTCTCTTCAGTTTGTTCAGTTAATATTTAAAAATGTAAGAGAGAAGCTGATTGGTTGCCGTGCACAGCTGCTCCAGTTTTGATAAATTCCCCTCAATATATTTGGATGAAAGGAATGTAGATGAGGTTTGGGAGCCTCTCTACAATTACTATGAAAACATGAATATTCTGTATCAATAGAGAATTGTCTATAGGATGATGAGGGTTCCAGAATGATTTTTGCTATGGGGCCCCATCACACATTGTTATAGGTGCCGATTGTCTTCAGTATAAAAAGTGATTAAAAATTGCCATGTTTAAGTTGTCATAGGAACTTGAAGTGAAGGGAAATCTTCCAATGGGGAAACCTTTTCTGGTAACAGCTGTCTAAGTGGGGATTTCTCCATATTTTGGAGAGAACTCCTCTTACTTGCTGTTTCTCTGTGACAGGAACTGGAGGAAAATCTGCCTGATGGTATACAGACAGAAAAAACAAAACACTCACAGGAGTCTTAAACCTTCCCTATAAACCATAAAACATTTTTTTGACTCTACCTACCCTTTAAAGAACTCCAGGAAAACATTTTTGTTAACCCTTGCAGTAGTTATACTTGCCCCATCCTGCGAGCCGGCCAACTGTGACCACGCTCCTTGACATTGCATGCTATTATTGAGTCTATGATCTACCGGAACACCCAGATCCTCCTCCATCATTGACTCCCCCAAACATACTCCCCCCTAGAGTGTATGACGCATGCATGTTTTAGTGCATAACTTTACATTCAGCAACATTTAAACCTCATTTGCAAATAGATGCCAAATCACACAGTGCATTCAGATCTGCTTGAGACTTGGAGACATCCTGTAAGGACTGTATTCCACTACATAACTTGGTGTCATCTGCAAACACAGAAATAGTACTTTTAATCCAAAATTCTATGTCATTTATAAATAGGTTAAACAGTAAGAGGACCAACACGGAACCTTGGGGGACACCACTAACAACCTCAGACCATTCAGAGTATGAATCATTGATCACCTCTCTGAATACGGTCTTTAAGCCAGTTTTCTATCCAATTACAGATTGACTACCTACAGACCTTAACTTATACATTAGCCGCATGTGGGGAAGCGCGTCAAACGCTTTTGCAAAGCCCAAGTATACTATATCCACAGCCATTCCTCTGTCCAACTTATTACTCACTTCCTCATAAAAATGTACTGTGTATAGAACGTGATGACTCAGGGACCTTAGACTGCTGCAGTGGAGGGGGGGGGCAGCCTGGAAGGACCAGTCTAAGAACAAGCCAGCTTGGAGGATCAGGTGAGTTAATTATTTTATTTTCCTCCCTAGACCAAAATGAGCAGTTAACCCTCACTGGAGTTCCCTCACTGCAGGAGTTAATAAAAATTTTGCCCGGAGTTCTTCCTTAAGAAATAGGCAGGCTAGTTACATTTCTTGAAGACAGAAAACAAAATTGAGTTTTCATATTTTTAAATGAGCACAAGAGCAGAGAAGACGGTGTGTATATAAAAATACTTTGTTTTGAATGTCTTCTAACCAAAAAGGTAGATTTTCCTGTCGTTTTACAGTCCGGGCTTCAGAGGAGACTACTAGACATTGATGTACCAGCCAGGACATTGGAATTCATATATTTATGCTTTGTGTATTTTGTTTTTACACTTGTCCCTTGTGTGCCCTAATCTTTGATCCATTCATCCTCTCTATGTAACAAAAGCACCCTGACGCCCAATTCCGTCCTAATCACAGATTCATAACAGTGTTGTATGGTGAGACGAGGTCACAACAGGGCCACTTGCGGTGCCTCAGGCTGTCCAGATGTTGGTTCAGGAGCTGAATTTCTCGCTCTCTGTGTTAAAGGATATCCAAACCCAAGAACAAAAATGTCATATATTGCAACTTACCAGTCCTTGGATGTGGTGGCTGCCTTCATTTTTTTTTGTCAAGTTAACATTTTCAGCAAGTACAGAAAATCGCTGTTAATCTTGTCAGGAATGCCGTGTACTTCTGTAAATTGGACTGAAATCACACACATTGTTATCTTCTTTCCAAGCTATCTTCTGTAAACTACAAATTCCCCACTTCCCAGTTAATTTAGAGAAACAGAAGAAGATGTGTTTGTAGCCTAATCAGGGGAGAGGATTGGGTGATAACCGTGGCTCCCTTCATAGATACAGTGGTCGGAGCGAGTGTAGTCACCTCACCCTAGGACAGGAAGTATTATTCACAGGATCACCAGGTGAAAATAAAGGAAAAAGAAAACTAATGCAGCCACCACATCTGAGGACCGGTGAGCTGCAGTATATTACATTCTTGTTTTTGGGTTTAGATATGCTATAGACCTCTGCCCGACTTGAGTGGAGTGGATAGGTTGTATGGATGTTTAGGGCCTTTTGACATCATCTATGCACATGGAGCAACACTTTTTCATGATTGATACACCAAGGTCTGCAACAGCAATCCCAAACATCACACGTGTGAATGCCAGGTATGATAAAGAGCTGTTATGGCTTGTAATGTTACCATTATGTCATCTTTGGAGAACTTTTTAACGTTTAGCGCTTCTATGTTTTGCATATGAAAATTAATTCAAGAGCCATAGTGCTAAACGTTTTGCTTTTGAAGACCTGTGTGCAGATCACCTTGCTGGAGAAAATTGGAGTATGTAGCCCAGTGTGCGGGAGCTGACAATTATTGCATGACGCATCTGATTGACAAGGTTTGTACACACTCTACTTTTGATTGAGGCCAGGTTCACACCTGCATCACATTCGGGGCGCGCATCCCGTGTGTCGTGCGGTCCTGCACAATGCAGGCAGTACCTTCTTTTTGCGATACACCGCGCACGGCTGTTTTAGTGTTCAGAAGCACGGGCGGAATCGCGGCGGGAAACCGCGCGATCCGCCCGGCGTGACTGGGTGCCATTAGAAAATAATGGCACCCACAGCGCGATCGGTTCACACTTTGGCGACTCCTGACCACGCGGCAATCCGCACGGAATCATGTACGATTGCTGTGAGGTATCGCCCAGGTGTGAACATAGCCTGAATTGCATGTGTTTTACACACTACTTGTTTGTATATTATAGAGTAAACCTGTCATGAGAGAAATATTTAAATTTTTTTTTTTAAAGTGCTGGTTTCCTGCTTGTTAAGCTGACCCTCTGGCTTCAATACTTTGGGTCACTGACCTGCTGCAAATATTGACAAGATGAAAAGCATGACAGCCATGCAACTGTAGAAGAGGTCAGCACTGGCAGCCTCCATGTTTCTCTTGAGAGGTCAGTCATGCATTATGTAGTGTAATTAAAGTTTCCTATGTCATAGATGTGTTAGTGCATGTTACAATGTTCCTGAAAATACACATTGCTGCACCT